GGCTGTTTAATACAAAAAAGCACTATTTTATGCTCTACTGGACATCCACATGGTGATAATCTGTTTATAATTATCTGAGCTTAGAAACTAATTCTGTTTTACATAGAAAGACAAAATATGTTTTTGCATGTTTTATATATATACTGAATTTTTCCAAACAGAACTACCATGGAAATCAAGGGAAGACTGTACTTTGTTTTGTTTGGACCTTTACCAAGAACCGTTCACCATTCATGAAAATTACATCAGGAGCTGGGGGAGATGAAAAGTTCTGGAGATGGAGGGTGCTGACAGTTGCACAACAAAGTGAATGTGTTTAATGCCACAGAACTGTACACTTAAAAGTGGTTAAAATGGTAAATTGGAAAAAAAAAAAAGAAAAGAAAGTCACAGGCAGCAAACACACTCACAGTGTTTGAGGTACCAACACCATGACCCTGCATCTGTCTGCACTGTAGTCATCCTGAACATGGAGATGCCACATCCCAAATCTATCTACTTGACTGTGTCTCCTGGTGTGGTCGTGCCTGGAGATAATGCAAGTAAGACATGTAATCTGATTATAAATCACTTTCTTTTTGCTTCTCCTTTTTATTACAACTAGGGCATTACATTGCATTTTGGAATCATGTGCTGCATAGGTATGTTACATTAACTATGAATTTCATTTCAGGATAAGAAAGCGCATGTTACAAAATATTTGCCATAAAAAGAAGACATTAGGTTGAAAGCGTTGAGAATCACTAGTGAGAGACAGACAGATACATAAATGGAACTAAAACACAAAGGAAACCATGGAAGCACCTCAGCGAGGTCAAAGTATACACAAGGTAGAACAAGGGAAAGAGATGCCCCTGGCCCTGGGGAAGCTGGGAAGCTCAGGGAGGAAGGATGTGAGCAGGCGCCGACTGATGCCCTCTGTTAGAATAACTCCAGAGATGTGGGGCTTGGGCTCTGCCTCCAATGATGTCCACTCCTTTGGCATGGCTTTGATTTTTATCGAGTTCTCTTTGATGTTCTTCCTGTATCTCCCCAACAGTAGCCCTTGTTCTAGGAGGCTCCAGTGGGCAGAGCAGGATGAATCCCTAGCCTATCTAGTGTCTTTGGGAATCTGAAAACTGTGGAGTCTGTAATACTTTCTGGTTAATCTTCTTTTCTTTAGGCCAAATCTCCCTACTTCTCTGACTGTTTCTCATACAACTTGATTTCATATTCCCTTACCATCTGGGTCATTTTCCTCTGAACATGCTCCAAGTTGTCAGTGGCCCTTTAAAAGTGTGATGCCTAGAACCGAATGTGGTTTCCAGAGCTGAAATATATAACTATATTTCCTAATATCCCAAAAAGGGGAAAATGTTATGACTCCACACAGTGAGACCAGGATGAGGGAGGAAGCAGGGGGGATCTGTCTTAATCATCACTGTACTGCCAATATTGAAAAATTTTCCTTTTTTGTTTAAGCAAGTTAAATCTGAATTTTTTAATACTTGCAACTAGAGGTCTGATCTCAAACAGTTTTTTCCCCTAGTTTGTTTTGTTGTGAGGAGTAAATGAAAATGTGGGTCTGGCTAATAAATACTAAAAATTATTTTTATTTGCTGACAGCATCTGTTTACCACCATCCTACAGTCATTTCTTGTGTGAAGACATTTTTCTCTTAACAGACTGGGCCCTGCCCATGTCCCAAGTCAATCTAACCAAGACTGGCAGGTATACAACTCTTTCAGGAGCTTGGCCTGTAAACTGGAATTAGTATTTCTGCATTAAGCTTGCATCCGGTGTGTGTGTGGAAAGCCCCTGCACTCCTGCGTGTCTAGTGAACCTCAGGTTGAGCCCCACCAAGAATAATTCCATCCAGGCTCCTGATTTTGGTTTGAGATTGAAATCCAGCAATAACCTGACTGGCTCTTACCAACACGCTGTCCCCAGGGGCTGAAACAGTACCAGTTCATCTCCTCATTCTAGATGCTAAGGACTCTTAAGCCACAGTGACACCATCCACTGGTAAACCTTTGGAAGCTATAGCAGAACTCTGCAAAAGGACACCACTCTGGCATGAATACTAGCTTGCTATCCTCCATGAATGCAATGACTTCAATGAATTGACCAAAAAATAAGGGACAGGTTAGCCTCAGAGGTCTAAGCACTTTATGTCACATCTGCTGGCTGTCCAAGTTCTAACATGCTTTTACAGCTGAACAGACCAGCTCAAACTACATGGGAGGAAGGATATTTGCCTGTTTTGTTAGTTGAGGTATCCGCAGCCCTTAGAACAGTGCTTAGCACATAACGGACGCTCAACAAATAGCCGTTGAATGAGTTAATGAAATGACCTGGTATGGCAGACATCAATCTTTGTTTTGCCCAGTATTCCCTTCTTTTGAAAATTGCTTCTTCCCTATTGCATGTTGGGGCTGCCAATCATGAGACTGAACAAGCCAGCAAATCACGTCATGAGTCTGGAGCTCCTTATTCCGCCTGTCCCTAGCCCCTAGAGTGCCTACAGTTAAGCAGGTATCTGCAGTCGTTCTCAGTTCTGGAGAATCCGAGGCATAACATCAGGAGGTTTGATGAATGTGGGTGGTATATTCTGCAGGTAGGTTGTTCAGAGGCTAAACTTGACATGAGCGTCCCTCACAAAACCCAAGCCAACAGGATAAAATGAACCTCTAATGACCATAAGCTTATGTTTCTAACATTATTGATCTTCATAACTAATCAAATACCATATCAGAATTTATCTTATTCACATTCAAATAGAGAGGAAATTTTTTCAAATTTCTAATGATAGATGAAATACAATTTTTATAATGTCAACTTTACTATGATAATGCTATTTAAGGCTTCTCAGAAAAAATTTAACCTGTGAAATGTGAAAAAAACTACATATTGAATTAAAATGATCCAACAAATGGGGGTGGGGGCAGGAGATTTATGGTTGTATAAGGCTTTTTAAAAGTTGTGGTAAAACATACATAACAAAATCTACCCTTTTAACTAGTTTTAAGGGTACAGTTCAGCGGCACCAAGTACATTTACAATGTTCTGCAACTGTCACCACTAACCATCTCCAGAACTTTTTCATCAAACAAACAAAAGCTCTGTACCCATTAAATGATAACTTCCCAATACCCCCTCCTCCGAGCCCCTGGTAATCTCTATTCTACTTTCTGTCTCTATGAATTTGCCTGTTCTAGCGACCTCACATAACTGGAATTTTACAATATTTATCCTTTTTCTGTCTGGTTTATTTCATTTTGCATAATGTTTTTCAAGGTTTACAGATGGTGCGGCATGTATCAGTATTTCATTCCTTTTTATGGCTGAATTATATTTCATTGTATGTATATTTTGTCATCCATTCATCTGTTGATGGACACAGGTCGTTTTCACCTTTTGGCTATGGTGCTATGAACACTAGTGTACAAGTATCTGTTTGAGTCCCTGTTTTCAGTTATTTTGGGTATAACTAGGAGTGAAACTGGTGGATCATACAGTAATTCTATCTTCAGCTTTCTGAGGAAAATGTGTAAGGCTTTTAAAGATGACTTCTAAAATAAAAATTTATTAATTTAGGAACTATATACAGCAACCAGTAAGTTGTTCTTCTGATACTTCACATATCTTCACATATCATTACTGGAGACAGAGAGACTGCTACGGTAAACAGAACAGAGGACATATCATTTCCTTGCAGTGAAGGAGGAAGGAATTTCCCAGTAATGACAGATCCTCAAGAAAGTAAGAAGGCACAATAATCGCAACTTGCTAAAATGTAAATACCAGGATTTTCACAAACATGAAATCCAGTCTTCTTTAGAAAACTGAACCTTTCATTTAGAAACAAAGTAAGAATGAATCCCACTATGTGATCATGTAATTGTAGTCTCTGTATGTAAAATAATTGATCAATACTATTCTAAACTATAAAGGTTATGAAAGACAAGGAAAGACTGAAGAAATGCCCCAGACTAGAGGAGAATAAGGAGACCTGATAACCAACTGCAATGTGCGACCCTGAATTGGATCTGGAACAGAAAAAGGACAATGGTGAAAAAACTGGCAAAATCCAAATAAAGGCTGTAACTTAGTTAATAGTATCGTACCAGTGTTAATGTCTCAGTCTTGATAACTGTACTATGGTTATATAAGATGTTAACACTAACGGAAGCTGGATGAATGATATACAGGAATTATCTGCTATTTTTGCAACTTTTATGTAAGTTTAAAATGATTCCACAGTAAAGAGCTAAGTGTAAGTTTAAAACGATTCCAAAATAAAAAGCTAAAAAGAATTACAGTCTCTGGACTTTAATGAGCATCTGAAATTGTTAAGCCAGATAATCAGAAATAGTAATAATAAATTTGAAGTTATAAATTGATCCATGAATGAGACTTCCACATTCGAAAAGAAGAAAAATATAATCGTTTTATGGTTAGTGCCTCTAATAACCAATTCTCTCTTGTACTCTCACTGCCATCCTGGCTTTACACTTCTTCCTCCTAGATACCCCCTCCCAATGCTTTTAACTCTAGCTTCTGGAACAGACTTTGCATAGGAAAGCTCTCCCTACATTTCTATTTTCTCAAAGAATCATTCCCTTCAACTGTTGCCAAATTAACATTCACAGTCCTGACTGTTCTCTGAGCTTTGACAGTACATCCACTAGCCTACTGGACATCTCCACTTCCAGAGTCGGCTGAAGTTCAGCATGTATCTAAAGCTAAACTTCATTTCACTCATTTACCCAAGTCAGAAACACAGGACTCAGCCTAGACATGTCCTCAGTCACCTCTACCCCCTGCTCAAAAGCAGTATGTACACCTATATTGTAGTATGACATCCAATGTAGTCCATTCACTAAAGTATAAAGTTGAAATCCAGCCATCTTTACCACTGACAGACAGTTAAGTTGTACTTTAAAAAGCCAAAAGAGATTGCAAAAATTGGTTACCGGTGAATTCAGGACATTTTCAATGGTGAAAATGTCTTTTTTTTGGTCTTTGACAATACATATACTAAAACTGGAATTATACAGAGAAGATTAACATGGCTATGGTGCAAGGATGACATGCAAATTCACTAAGTGTTCTATATTTTTAAGAGACTATACCAATTCTCTTGGGGCTGGCCCCACGGCACAGTGGTTAAGTTCTGCGCACTCCACTTTGGCGACCTGGGTTCACAGGTTGGGATCCTGGGCGCAGACCTATACCACTCATCACTCATGCTGTGGTGGTGACCCTCATATAAAGTGGGGAAGACTGGCACAGATATTAGCTCAGGGCTAATCCTCATTAGCAAAAAGAAAAAAAAAAAAAGAAATTATACCAATTTTCTACAGTCTCTTTCAGAGGATAGAAGTAGAGGGAATACTTCCTAAGTCATTATATGAGGCCAGAATTACCCTAATACCAAAATCAATACTAATACCAAGAAAAGAAAACTACATGAAATAGCTGCAAAAATCCTCAACAAAATATTGGCAAACTGAATTGAACAATGTTTAAAAATAATTATACACCACAATCAAATGGGATTTATCCCATGTATGCAAGTCTGGTTCAGCATCCAAAAACCAATTAATATAATCTATCACATCTACAGGCTAAAGGAGAAAAATCACATGATTATATCAATAGATGGAGAAAAACATTTGCCAAAATCCAATATCCAATCACAATAAAAAACTCTTAGAAAACTAGGAATACAGGAGAACTTTTTCAATTTGATAAAGAATATCTACAAAAAAACTAAGCTAACATCATACTTAACAGTGAGAAACTAGACACTTTCCCCCTAGGATTAGGAACAAGGTAGGGATATCCCCTTTTATCTCTTCTTTTCAACATTGTACTAGAAGTCCTAGCTAATGTACTAAGATAAGAAAAGGAAATAAAAAGTGTACCGATTGGGAAGGAAAAAACAAACCTGTCTTTGTTCAAAGATGGCATGATTGTCCATGTAGGAAATCTGAAAAAACTGACCAAAAAGTTTCTTGAACTACTAAGTGATTATAACAAGGTTATATGATATAAGGTTAACACAGAAAAGGCAATTACTTTCCTATTGAACAACTGGAATTTGAGATTAAAAACACATTACCACTTATATTAGCACTCAAACAATGGAATACTTAGGTATAAGTAACAAAATACGTACAAAATCCATATGAGGAAAAATACAAAACTCTGATGAACAAAATCAAAGAACTAAATAAGTGAAGAGATATTTCATGTTCATGGATAGGAAGACTCAATATTGTCAAGATGTCAGTTCTTCCCAATTTGATCTATAGATTCAATGCAATCCGAGTCAAAATCCCAGCAAGTTATTTTGTGGGTACTCACAAACTGATTTTCAAGTTTATATGGAGAAGCAAAAGACATAGAATAGCCAACATAATATTGAAGAAGAAAGTTGGAGGACTGACACTACCTGACCTCAAGACTACTATAAAGCTACCGTAATCAAGACAGTGTGGTATTGGTGAAAGAACAGACAAATGGATCAAAAGAATAGAATAGAGAGCCAGAAATAGAGCCACATGAATATAGTTAATTGCTATTTGGCAAAAGAGCAAAGGCAACACAATGGAGCAAAGATAATTTTTTCAATAAATGGTCCTGGAACAACTAACTGAATATCCACATGCAAAAAAATGAATCTTGACCCTCACAAAAACTAACTCAAAATGGATCACAGACCTAAATGTTAACTGCAAATCTATGAAATCCCTAGAAGATAACACAGGAGAAAATCTACATGACCTTGGGTTTGATGATGACTTTTTAGATACCATACCAAAGGTAAGAAAGAAATAATCGATAAGTTGGACTTCATTAAAATAAAAAATTTCTGTTCTTCAAAGACACTGTCAAGAGAATGAAAAGACAAGCCACAGACTGGGAGAAAATATTTGTGAAAGACTTATCTGATAAAGGACTGTTATCCAAAATATACAAAGAACTTTTAAAACTCAACAATAAGAAAATGAACCAACTAATTAAGAAATGGGAGAAAGATCTTAACAGGTACTTCATCAAAGATATATGTGGAGATGGCAAATAAATGTATGAAAAGATGCTCCACATCATATGTCATTAGGGAAAGGCAAATTAAAACCACAACGAGATACCAGTACATACCCACAAGAATGGCCAAAATCCAGAACATTGATAACATCAAATCCGGATGAAGATGTGGAGCAACAAGAACTCTCATTCATTGCTGATGGGAAGGCAAAATGGTACAGCCACTGTGGGAGACAGTTTGGTGCTTTCTCACAAAACTAAATATTCTCTTACCATATGATCCAGCAATTGCATTCTTGGTATTTACCCAAGGAACTAAAAACTTACATCCACACAAAAACCTTAACACAGATGTTTATAGCAGTTTTATTCATAATTGCCAAAACTTGGAAGCAGTCAAGACGCCTGTCAGTAACGAACGGATAAACAAACTGTGGTAGATCCAAACAATGGAATATTATCCAGTAATAAAAAGAAATGATCTATTAAGTCATGAAAAGACTTGAAGGCACCCTAAATGCATATTACTAAGTGAAAGGAGGCAATCAGAAAAGACTACAAACTGCATGATCGTAACTATATGACATTCTGGAAAGGGTAAAACTATGGAGATAGTGAAAAGATCAGTAGTTGCTAGGGATTGGGGGGAGGGAAGGATGAATAAGCAGAGCATAGAGGATGTTAAGACAGTGAAACTATTCTGTTTGAGACTATAATGGTGGATACACGTCATTATACATTTGTCAAAACCTATAGAACGTATAACACCAAGAGTGAACAATAATGTAAACTACAGACTTTGGGTGATAATGATGTGTCAATGTAGGTTCATCAATTATAACACATGTACCACTCTGGCAGGGGATGTTGATAATGGGGGAGACTATGCACATGTCAGGGCAGAAGGTACTTGGGAAATCTCTGTGCCTTCTGAATTTTGCTGTAAACCCAAAACTGCACTAAAAAAAATAAAATCTATTTTAAAAAAAGTGAGAGAAAGAAACAAGAAGCTACTGTATACTGATACTCTATTAGCCATGTAACTATTCATTTGTGTATTATGGATTTAGAAAATACCACAAGGATGAGTTAGTTCTTTTTGCCATTACTAAGTTCTACAAAGAAAAGAAAGTGCTTGTTGATTAGAAGGGAAAAAAATATCAGAATATCATTCCATATTTAGTGAAAAGTACCACAAATTTGGAAAATAAAATTCCAGTTCCAACAGGGCCTAGCAGAAATAAAAACAAGCAAAGTTCTCCATTATATTAAACAAAGAAATTGAATAAAGTCAGAGGAAGCATTCTGACCATATATTTAGAATACTGTGTGCTGATCTGGCCACACTATGATCAGAAAGCCAAGTCAGGAAATAATGAGAGATGGTGGGGATATCTAAATTAGCCTAGAAACCTGAAGGTCTCAAGTACTTCCATATAAAATAGGATTAAGATTCTTTATTATTCCTTATTATTGCAATTAAAAAACTAAATTTGATTACTAAGTGTTTTAGTGTTCACTTTTAATGAGTAAAAGTGATAAAAAGTGAAAATAATTGAAACATTTAACCAAATTTAATTAGTGTTTCCTCATATGAACTTCCATGTAAACATGATTTAGATTTTTTGGTGAATGTCACTGTAACCCAAAATCTTTAGGGAAATAATACCATTCAACTCAGTCAGAAGTGGAGCTGGATCTAAACTTTTATGAACTATTTCACAGTTGTTCTGTCTTATTAGAACAAGCTACCATGTTATTGTAGTAGAGCCCAGTAGGATTTTGCTGCTCATTAAATAGTAATTAGTTCTCCATATTTGTTACTAAGAAATACAAATGGCACATTTGGTGGTCACCAAGGCTGTGTTAGCAGACTTAGGGAAAGTTCTGAGGTACCTCTGATCAGGCAGTACTCTGCAAGTTAGTCACATACTCCATCATCATATACTGGGTTCCCTTTGAGAACATCTACACTCCAGGGCCAACAGGGCCTGTTCCAGGCAGCCCTGCTTTGGTGGAATTTCCTAGTACAGTACTTTAGAATCAGCGAATCAAAGACCCTTAAAGCTGGAATTACCTTAAAGATCAAAAGTGATATCACAGGGAAAAAGTATAATCTGTTAAGATGCCGTTCAACTCTTTCTTGTGTTTGCACTGTTGATTAAACAACAAAACAAAATAAAACAAACAAAAAACAATCCAGAAGAATCTGTCCCTCTCATCACAAATATAAGGGTTGCTCTATAGGTATAAATATAGAATTGTCTCATTTTTCCAGTACAGGATAAACAATAGACTGTATTTTAACTTGACCAAAAACTACTGTTTATTCACAATTTATCCTAACCCTCCATTTCTTTTGATGGAACTAAGTTTTCTGTACTTTATTATAAAAATACAGCAACAAGAACTTGACATTTACAGCATTTTGCCAACAACTAAAAGAAACAATCTCCCAAATCTGCACTAGCTATGTAGACAAAAGAAATCAAACAAATACTTCAGAGTTCCAAAACTAATTTATTGCTCTAACGGGGACTAGACTCCAACTTGGATATGATACTGTTTTCATGTCCCCAGAGAGATAAACGCTTCAGCATATATTTTTAGCCATGAGTTATTATTTTAATAGTATTGCCTTTAAATCATTTTTCCTTAAAAAAATAAAACAAAAAACCCTCCAGCATTTCTAACTTTATGCTTCTCTAATTTAATTATGTGATTCGTCTATGAAGCAATGGTTTGGTTTACTTTACCCAACTTTTACCATTTTGTGTTTAGAATCATTCTCTGAAATCCAAATTGGCTGATTACTGAAGAAGTTCTCATTACTCCCCGGAGACTGTGGGAGCCTGGGCTTCTAGCATTGTTCACTGTTTGGCTGGGAAACAGGCTTCCTCTTGTAGTGCCCGATCTGTTATTGATTTAAAAACTGACCTAAAGGGCTACTTGTTCTGGGCTCTCTGAAGTGCATTGGCTGCTCCTGCCTTCTGGAACTATACTGTCAGACACCCTGAGCCCTCATGCTATATTCTTCACTATGCAGTCTGTGCAGCCGGGAATAATG